CTCAAACAAAAGCAGAAAACATCATAAATAATTTTTTTTTTAAAAGTAAAGATTTAGAAATCTTCTCCACAATGAGCTGATCATGCCGTCGTGTTTTTTCAAAAAATCTTCTCTTTTACATAAGAAACAAATTCTACATGCTTTGCTATACCCTTGTCAAAAAAACGTAGAATGATCAGCTCAAAACCAAAAACACATCAGCTAAACAAACATAACCCAAGAAAAAACAAAGATATATTTTTCATCTAATCTTCAAGCTTCTTCCCTCACTTGATTGTGAAGCCGTGCCGGTCCTCCAAATACCATATAAGAATGAAACCGTCCATTTCTAGTTACACTTTGGCTATAGAATGGCCGAGAATCAATTGGAACTCACACACCTCAAAGCCTCTACACACTTGCCACACTTTATACAACAAATTTCAATACTGCGGCCAATCATTTGGATTCAAAACAGAAAAACACTTAGTTTTAAATAGATGTACTAGTTCGTTTCCAAAAATTTTTTAAAAAAAAACCGTCTTGGGAAGCAATCGACGAAAAGAAAACTAATGGTTATTTCGCAACTGGGCTTTGATGAGCTAAAACCATAATGGGCCGAATTTTCCAAAAAGGAAAGAATTGGGCCAATTTTTTTTCCAAAAACTAAACGCCGGCCTAAACGCGTTTTCGCCGTAGAATAGTGCCGATCATCCTTAAGTCGCCACGTCCTGCCACCACGGACCGAGTTTCTGAACAGAGAAGTTACTCTTGGTCTGAAAAGGATGTATGGTTGGGTTAACCGTTTGGTGCCGAGGAATGAGAACTGAAGTGAAAAGGAGAATCCTTCAATTATCCGATTGAGTTAAGGTTTTGCTTCTCCAGACGAACATAAAAAGATGTGTGGAAGGGCTCGCTGTACTTTGAGACCTGACGATGTTCCCAGGGCTTCTCACCGCCATAGCGTTCCTGCTCGTTTTCTTCATCTTGACCGGTCTTTTCTCTCTTCTCGATTTTCAATTTCTGGACAACAACATTAATTTCGTGGAACCAATTTTAAGTTTCATCTGAACATTGTTGTTTTCTTGTCAAACAGTTATCGTCCATCTTACAATGTTGCACCGGGTTCTTACATGCCGGTTCTGCGGAAAGACAATGAAGCCGTTGGTGATGGTGTTGCTGTCCATTGTATGAAGTGGGGATTAGTCCCTAATTTCACTAAGAAAACTGATAAGCCTGACTTTTTCAAAATGGTAAACTAAACTACTTGTGATTAGGAACTTCGTTTGTTGGCATGGAATATTGTGTAATTGTGAAAAGAGCATAGCATCTGGTTTGGTTGGGGGCATGGATTTTTGTAGTTGTTTTGAGATTTGCATAGTTTTTGTCTCTCTGATTGCTGACCTTACGTCAAGTGAAGATGGTCTGAATCGGTGACTGAATCGTTCATATATTTTGCAGTTCAATGCTCGGTCTGAATCGGTGACTGAGAAACCGTCTTTTCGCCGATTGCTTCCCAAGAATAGGTGCCTTGTTGCAGTTGATGGGTATCTACTATCTCCTCTTTCTTAGAGTTCTAATCCATTTTCAATCTGTGTGTGTAGATATTACTTCAATCCATGTTCAATCTGTGTGTGTAGATATTCTCCTCTGAATTTACTGCAAGAATGATTCAATCCAGCAATGTTACTGTCTCTACTCGTTTCATGGTTACTCTTTTGATTCTGTGTAAATAACCTTGAGGTTAAAAGGTTGTTATTGATATTTGTTTCTGTGAACATTCTTCGGAAAAAAATGGTTTGTTAATCGATTTCTATTTAGAGAACCCTTCTGTCTGTACGTTTATATCATTTGTAAACGTTTGCATCCATTTGGTCATCTGTTATATTGCTATCTGCATACGATGCCTAGCGTTTATTCATGTATAGTGTTGGGCCAGTGGGTTTGGGATCACAAAGCTCGTAAAACTTTAAGCTAATTTCTAATATTATGTTATTTAGTTAGATGTGTATTTTTTTTAGACACATATAAATGATTGTATTTATAACTCAGAAGTCTTAAAGAACTTACAGTGAGATTCTTTTGAAGGTTCTATGAGTGGAAAAAGGAAGGCTCAAGAAAGCAACCCTACTACATTCATTTTAAGGATCATAGGCCTTTGGTATTTGCTGCTCTCTTCGATTCTTGGCAGAACTCGGGAGGTGAACCGTTTATTCCTTTTAACTTAAGCTCTCTTGATATTCATTCTGGAGCCGGTGCTTCACCATTTCTTGATTAGGATACTTTTTCTAAAACCAGTAACCTTTTTCACAGATATTTGAAAAGTTTATCTATTGTAGTTACTCACTGTTAACATTTTGCTCCCATCTATTTGAACCTCTATATATCCATACTCTGCATATCTGGTGCATGTACTAGGAAATTATAAGGTCTGTGTATATAAAATTTGAAGCAAAACTTGAAAATCATGTTGGACGAATTTAATAAAAGTGTTGGATTCGATCTTTTGCTTAGGTCCTTGGTAGCTGGAATCTCCAACCCGTTTTAAATTTAGGAAGTAACAGTTACTTTTTTCCTTTTTAGGTGAGACACTTTATACCTTCACGATTTTGACAACCTCTTCCTCGCCAGCTCTTCATTGGCTCCATGGTGAGTATTATTGGCTATAGCCGGTGGGTTTTTCTCATGCTTTTCTTCATAAATAAAACCGGTTTCCTTATTCATATTCATTAGTGATTCTCAGTAGCACAATGCCACCCATAACATAGTGAGTTGGATACTA